TGAGTTAAACATTTACCTCAAGTAGACACACACCCTGGAGAGAACAATCATGGGAGAAGGAAGGGCTGCTTATGCACAGGGAGACAGCTCAGGGTGCAGAAGAGTATGGAGGGATGGACACTGGGAAGAGGTAACTATGGGGAGGAAGTGGGAGGGGAGCTGTTGCATTGTGAATTTTGGTCAATGACACGAGACAAAGTATATTGAACTGCTGTATGAAAAGTGAATTTACTCTGTAAATCTTCACCCAAATCAAAATAAAATTAAAAAAAAAAAACAAACTTGTTTGTTTTGTAGGAAATCTCAGAGACCTTAATTGGCTAATGAGCACTCTGATTACACAATGAAGGACAAGATATGATCTTAGAAACTGTTTTTCAGGTAGGATCTTTAAAGCTTAAATAAACATTAGGAATTTGAGGGGGAAGTAACAATAATCATAAATTAGATTTATTTCTAAAAGAAAATTGAGACATTTAATAGTGAATTAACAAAATAACATATCAAGTAGTTAAAGCACTGAAGAAGTTTAATTGGCAAAAATAACAGATGGTGACTCCCATCTAATCGATCAGCAACACTGGCATACCTCGTTTTATTGTGCTTCACTACTTTATTGCACTTTGCAGATACTGCAGTGTTTTTGTTTTGTTTTTTTACAAATTGAAGGTTTGTGGCAACTTGCTTGATAGCAAGTCTATCAGTCACTTTGTGTCTCTATGTCACATTTTGATCATTCTCAGAATATTTCAAACTTTTTCATAATGCTACTGTATACTTAATAAACTATAGTATATGTAACTTTTATATGCACTAACTCTTCTGACTCACTTCATTGTGATATTCCTTTTACTATGGTGGTCTGAAACTAAACCCTCAATATCTCCAAGGAATGCCTGTAATATTGATAGCAGCTAACATTTACTACTTCCTATGTGCCAGGTACCTTTCTAAGAGCCTTACATGTATTATGTAGAATCAAGATTTTTAGTTTGGTTAGTCGATATCCCAACAAACTAAGCACTATTAGGGGAAAGGGAGCTCTGGTAGTGCAGTGGCTAAGTCATTCAGCTGCTAACCAAAAGGTCAGCAGTTCAAATCTACCAGCCGCTCCATGGGAGAAAGACAGGCATCTGCTTCCCTAAAGATTTACTGCCCTATAAATGCCTAAGGCTTATGACTGCTGTGGTAGTTAAATTTGTATGTCAACGTGGCTGGGCAGCTGGTGGTAGTTATTTCCCATGATGAGACTGGCAATCAACTCCATGGTGGGAACTACCACAAGCAGCTGAGCAGCTGCCTTTGGGTATGTGGTCTGCTTCACGCATATATGCAGCAGCTTTGGGAGTGGTTTTTAGTTTACGGCATGCTTGGACCCTGCTTGTAGCTGTGTCATTCAGCAGCCTGCCATGCTTTGCCGACCTTGGGACTTACAATGGACTTTAAATTAATGGCCTGCCACGTGGTTTGGTAACATCGAGGCTGTGCCTTTTTACTTGTCAACCTTGGGCTTGTCAGCCTCAGCAGCCAGCAGCTGTCTGAGTGAAGAAACGCCTCTACCTCCAAGGGGCCAGGAACAGGAGGCAGAGCTGGACCCCAAGGTTGAGGGGCTTTCACCCAGCCCCTAGAGCCTGGCACTTTGAACTTAAAGCCTCCAAACTGTAAGAGAATAAACTCCTGTTTGTTAAGGCCATCCCATTTGTGGTATATTCTTGTCAGAGGGGCACTAGGTAACCAGAACAACTGCTAACCAGAAGGTTGGTGGTTCAAACCCACCAGCTAGCTCTGTGGAAGGAAGACGGGGCAATCTACGGTAAAGATTTACCACCCGGAGACCCAGTGGGGCAGTTCTATTCTGTCCACTATGAGTTGGAATTGACTTGATGGCAATGGATTTTTTTGTTTTATTAGGGGTAAAGGGAGTCCTGATGGTGCAGTGGTTCAGAGCTTGGCTGCTAACCAAAGTCAGCAGTTTTAACCCACCAGCCGCTCTGCAAGAGAAAATGAGGTCGTGTGCTTCTGTTAAGTTTTACAGCCTTGGAAACTCTGAGGAAGTTCTAATATGTCCTATAGGGTCATTATGAATCAGAATGGACTTGATGGCAATGGGTTATTAGGGAAAACAATTCCTACCACTATGTAATTTCTCTATCTAAAACTTTGCCAAAAGTGGGATATGAACTGTCATTATCAGACACATTCAGGTAGTTCAAAGGAAATAGAGCATTCACACCTCTTAGAAACAAAGAACAGGGAAATGTTATCGCTTAAAGGACCTTGATGGAAAATCTAATCTAACTATCATACTAAAGATGAAGAAACTAAGACCTGAAGAAATTAAGTGATTTATCCAAGATCAAAGAGCAAAATAACAGGATAACAAGGACAAGTTTAATCCATTCCTTTCCCCTCTGCCCTGCTGTCTGCTCAAATTTATCTGAGTTAGAGAGCTTTATGATTGCTGCTAATAGGAAAAATAAGATTGGAAGAATGTTCTTACCACCCAAATGTCAATGGCAGAAAGAAATCAGAACAATCTGCTTTTATTTATGATAAAGCAGACTCCCCAAAAGGTTCCTGGATGACTACAGAGTCTTGCCTTTACCTATGTGAAACACTAATTCTTTTCCCCATAGTCCACTAGCTCTGGCTAACTGACTTAAAACCTTTTTGTTTTAAATATCATAAAGGCACTATATAGCATGCATCTGCTCAATTCCATTGGAAATGTCACAATAACATCTCCACTGCAAATAAAAGCAAGTCAATCTGAAGTACACTGGATACAGTAATGAGAGAGGTAGCAAGCATTCCCTGGTATTTTAATACAAAATATCTAGGCTGCTATTTTGAATCACTCTATGATAGCATCAGTCAAAACATGACAGAGTATCTCCAAAAAATCTAATGTAAGACTAAATATTTCAATTTGAAGCAACTGAAGTCAGGGCAAACAAACTTGAAACTGCAAAAATACAAAGGAATAACTCAGTCATTCCCTGATATTACTCAGCTGTCTGATTATATCACAATTTTCTTTCTGATGCTCAATGATTCTATGTCCCCAGATGCCTCTAATTAACTACATTTCTTTAATAGTTCATGCAAATTAAGTCTGCTGGATATTTTAAAAACAAAAGAAAATGGTGCTTCATCCAATAGATATCCCTTACCTACCTGTGGCTCTGTGTGAATTGGAGAGGGGGGCTGATACCTCAGCAAGAGCTGCAAGAGTGGTCAGCACTGAGGTGGTAGAATTTGAGAACTGTACTGTTGAGGCATGGGGGTCACCTATTTCAGTAAAGAAGGCAAGTGAGGTCCATCGGAGAGAGTAAATTGAGAAGCACTAAAAATGGTTTATTAAATGAAAACCCCAACTTTTCCCTATAATGTTCTTAATCTAGCTCTCTAATCTACACTGATATAAACCATTATCAGTGTTAAATCTCTTTTAAAATTTTAAAAGTTTTTCTTTTAAAGGAGATTAAATTCATATTCTTGGCATATGGCCACTATACTCCTCTCATTTGATCATTCTCTTGGCATTGCCAATGCTGAGCATTAGCAGCTAACAGACAGGCATGCCGCCCACTCCCTAGGCTAGCTGTGCACAGCTCTCTCTGGCAGCAGGCAGTAAGCCTACAAAGCATGCCTCACTCCAAACTAAGCGATAGCGAGGGAACAGGCCCCACCTGGGCTTTACCCAATCATGCTACCTCTGTTCCTCAGCTAGACAGGTGAGGAGAAGTATAAGACTGACGTCCAGTGAAAGGGAAGTTAAAAATCTAAAATTTCCTATGTTGAATTTTAAAGGTGGTACAATGGATTCATGCTAAAAATAATTACTACCCACTTTCGTTATACCTGGAAGTGCTTTTTAACTTTCATCAGAAACCTGTTTTGTGTCTGTGTGTCTATTATCTTACAGGCAAACAGTTCCTACAGCATGTGTATTTGTTCTGGTAATAGGCATGCCTAACTTTATGAACCAAAAGGATCACTCAAAAGGTTTACATAAATCTAACTTAAAAAAAAAAGTATTACATTTCCCTGTGTCTTTTGCTATAATTTCAGAGATACTTTTTACACTAGTTAGCAATTTATTACTTCTCAGCTTCAAATCTACCCTTCTTTGTCCTGTGTTGTCAAACTGGAGTTAGATCCTATAAACATTTCATCTTTGTCAGCTGCATGAGATTAAGCTGTCAGTATAAAAGTAGTGGCTGCTCCCTATATCTGGTATTCCCGTATTCTTTAGAGTTCTCATGCAGTTAATCCACTATTACTAGTTAATAATTCTAATGTGGAATTTTAGAAATTATATGTATCTATACATGCATAGATTTATGTCCTAACTAGACTCTGACTGGACCACCTATCTTCTTTTAAAATGTACTCTTAATTTTTAAGTTTTCCCACTATATGCTTAAAGATTCTTTCTACCCTTTCTTCTATTAAGATGTCAGTTATCTGTAAAACACTTAAAGAAACTCCTATTTAACACTCCTTATAGGGAATCCTCCCACAGAGCAAAGAATCCTTTCCTGATATGACTAATCTACGTAATCTCTTTTATAAATTTAAATTTAATGATTACTTATGTAGTCCCCCCAAAAGTCCCAAACCAGCTTAATCAAAGCTTTTGGGATTGGGGATGATATCCCCATTTGATTCTAATTCTCATTAAATATCCAAGGAACCAAATGGTCTGAGTGGAACACAGTGCTTGACCTTCAGAAGGAGACTATCTGATGACTCCTATGTCGAATAGATCCAGCTACAGCTTGTTCCCTAATTTTCCTGCTTTTCTCATCACTCAGTCTGTCATACCAAATGCTGACATAAGAACCCACAACCCCCTCCTCAAATGAAACAAACAAGGATTAAGCAATTTTTAGATATGTCCCTCATGTAGATTGGAAACTTTTTTTGTTTGTTTATAAATCACTAGCAATCAAAAACAAGGCTGTTATAATTAAAGTTCAAGCAGGCTAAACATCAGGTGGCCACCCAGCTAAAGGGGAATGGCTGGTATAAAACTGCTCCATGAGAAAGGCATTACATGATTTTTAGTGTATGATGATCCCAACCTACGAGTGCTTTCTTTTTGATTCAAACATGGTAACTCACCCAACTTCCCCTCGATAGAAGAATGAAGAAAGAACATTTGTGAAAAATCTGGTTTAGTACTGACATACAAACAGGAACCCTAATAGCACAGTGGTTAAAGAGCTTGGTTTCATAGGTATTGATTAGGCATCAGGTAGGTCATTAAGCTAAAGTGGGGATAGCTGGGTAGAACTGATTCATGATTAAGATAACATTGGGGAGGTCAGCTGTTACGTTAGGTTTAGGCAATTTCAATTTACAGTTCCTAATATAACAGGAGAGAAAGAAGAGTGTTGTTATGTGCCATCGACTTGGCCCTGACTCACAGTGACCCCTGCTTGGGTTTCTGAGGCAGTATCACTATGGAAATAGATTGATCAACCTTCCTTCTGAGGAGTGGCTAGTGGGTTTGAACCGCCAGCCTTCTGGGTAGTAGTCAAGTGCCTTAGGCACTATGCTACCAGAGCTCCCTGCTAGAAAGAAGAGTAGGTCCGCCAAAAGCAGTGTGACAAACACAGTACTGGCCAATGGGAACCAAAGCAAAAGAATCTCTAATCTGAATATGGTTTGCTTTTCTTAATATTCCAGACTATGGTCTGGAGAATTTCAGCAGTATGCTAAAGACCAACTCTAGCTCTTTTCACATTTGTGAACCTTTATTGGCATCTAAAGACTTTGGGCATATAAAAGCACTTGTTCTAATCAGTGTGGCTTGAACCACTTCAAATCCACAGGGTTGTGAATGAGCTCATTATATGTATATGCATATTTAAGCTTAAAAAAAAAAAAAAAGATTTAAAATCCACCTAAAGTAAAGTGGTAGATTTTTGAATGTGTTGATGGCCTAAAGACAGGAAGGTCACTACTGCCCCCTTGTGGTCACGACAAAGTCTCCCTTCATTGGGAAGAGACTTTCATTTAACAATAGGTGTTTTTAAAGCTGGAGGAGCAGTGGTGGTACAGTTAAGCACTCAGCTGCTAATGAAAGTTCACTGGTTCAAACTCACCAGTCGCTCTGGGGAAGAAAGATGTAGCAGCCTCCTTCTGGAAAGATTTACAGCCTCCTTCTGGAAACCATATGGGGCAGTTCTACTCTGTCCTATATAGGGTCACAATGAGTCGGAATCGACTTGACCACTTGATGGGTTTTTTATTGAAGCCCTGCTATAAAATAGTCACTGAAATACAAACTCCTGAAGTCTCACAATAACCTTATAAAATTGGTATTATTATATCCAAATTTTACAAACAATAAGGCTTGGAGAAATAAGCAGTTTTCCCAAGGTCAAGCTAGTCAATTGATAAACCAGTATTTGAACCTACTTCTGAATCCAAAATTATATGTACATTTTATATATATATGTATATATTATATATATATATGTCTCTTCCACTTTACCACGCTGCCTCTCAACTGAATACCTCATTCAAGATCCCCCTTTTGATATTATATCAACTTAACTAGGAATGCAGTTGTTTCTTTTGAAATGAAAGTCAGGAACAGAAAAAGAAACAAGAGTCAATGGGAATAATTAGTTAAATGAAGGTACAATTTCCTCCATTGTAAAACAAGTATCTGTAAAACGAGATGTTGAAAACAAACTCATTGGCTTCTTTTTAGACAGAAGCTTTAAAAGTACATGGGTCTCAAAAGATGAACACCAACTGCTTTTCCCTGTTATTTTGTTTTTAAATATGCTCTCATAACAAACCAAGACCTTTATACTTTAATCAAATAATCAAATGTACTTCTTTTATCACCTCTCCACTTATGTTTGCTTTGCTACAGCTTTAGACTATGAACATTTACTATTTCTTTAGCAGTATCATATTGAGACACCCTTATATTTTCATTCTGGGGTCAGGTATAACAACGTAGAATATTTTACTTTTATCAGAATTAGTATCCATGTATAATCCCAATGTCTGATATTCCCTCACTTTAAGTAAAATTTCTCCCCAGAATAAATGTATTAACTTTAAAATCTAGTATAAATCTTATGTTTTGGGGAATATTTTAATAAAAGACTGGGTATCAGAAAGATTCTCCATTCATCTCATGGGAAAACTTGGGGTTCTGTTCATTTTTAAGTCTAAAATAAATGCCACATCATCATAACATTACCTGAGGTTGTTTTGGTGTTGGCTGAAGAAACAAGGCTAGCGAGGTTTACAACTTCTCCCGATGTGAAGATGAATGGAGCAGCCATAGTCACCGGGTTAGTCACAGGGTTGGCTCTCTCAGGATTAGCATTCACCTGATTCTGCATTGCTTCCTACCAACCAAGGCAGGATATTTCAAGGCCGGGACACTTTTTAGCCTTAGTTATACAGTTACTGAACAGTTCCCTCCACCCCCCAACCCTTGACAATGCTCTATCAAGCAGAACTAGTTCTGGCACACACTGTCCATGGCTGTCAAATCTATTTCAACTCACAGCAATCCTATAGGGCAGAGTAGAACTAACCATAGTTTCTAAAGCTGTAAATCTTTACAGCAGCAGACTGCCACATCTTTCTCCCTCTGAGCAGCTGGTGGGTTCGAACCATAGACCTTTCAGGTGGCAGCCAAGTGCTTAACCCACGTACCACCAGGGAGATCAGAGTTCTCATTAAGATTGTTGTTTTTTTTTCAGACCAGGGCAACAGAAATGTTAGGTTGATTTCTCAAGCTTGTTACTACTTTGGAAAAGCAAAGGTGTATTATTGGCAAAAACTTTTAGACAATTCACTTTTTTCTTTCATTTGAAAAATGAGGGGCTTGGCCTAAATAGGCTAGAAAATAATTTCCATCACTAATATTCTATGATCAATTATCTACAAGTCAACATGCTGGCAGGTGATCCCTTATGCCCTACAGAGAACAATATTCTCTAGGGTTTTGTCAAACTACTTGTTCCATTCTGCCACTGAAGAAATTCCTAGGAGAATATATAACAAGCAAATAAATTAGTGCCAGATTTTAAAGTCGAGTTCCTTATGCCACATTTTGCTTCCAGGAATATCTGCTCAGTTTTGGTGAAAAAAATGCTTACGTGTATTTATTAGTTTTTTTAGTTTCAGAACCAGGATCATTACTAAAAAAAGTACAGTAATGAAAGACACTTTCAACAAGAAATTGAAAGTTGAAAAGAATAAGCAGTCTATAGAGAACCATCTGTCAGTAAAAACAAACAAAACAAAAACCTGTAAATGCAACAGAAATGGCTATTTTTCTTATATAATTATCTCCTTGCTAAGAACACCAGTTGAAATAGATTATCCATTTTCTGGTTACTATTATATTCTTCCTTGAATCTGTCCCTTTTATCTACTGTCACATCCTTAGTTCAAGCCCTCATTGGATCTTTCTCTTTCTTTCCTTCACTGGATCTTGCTTAGACTAATGAGTTACTAAATAGTTCTTCAGCCTAAGTGTCTGCTTTCTCCAGTCCGTGTGACACACCCCAACAGTCACCTTTATAAAACAAATCTAATCATATCAGTCATCATCTATCTACAAGCTTCTACTGGATCCTCACTACTTAAAAAACAGCTCAAACTACTTAGCATGCCATACAATGGCATTCAGAGTCCAGGCTAACTCTCAAACCTTAGCTCCTGCTGTTCTGAAAATCCATTTCTCTGTCCATTTTCTAGCACAGAATAACTTACTCTTCCTTGAATATTTCATGTTCTTTCACATGTCTTTGATTTGCTGTTCTAGCCTAGAATATAATTTTCCCACTTCTCTGTCTATTTTTCCTTCAAGACTCAGTTCAAGTTTTACAAATACTTTATGTCTTCCCTTAAGTGTCATCAAAGCTCCCTTTCTCTGTGCCCTTCATAATACTTGCTAGATAAGTTTATTGTGTAGTATTATAATACCCTATTTCCTGTCTTTTACCTCCAGGACGCTGTGAACACTCCAAGTGCCAGACCATGTCTTTGTATTTCTCATCGTACTATCCCTGACCTAGTGTAATGCCTGATATACAAGTGCCTGCTTAAGAAATTAATGAATGAAATCATCACGGCTAGCTAATTTTCAATTGTGGGCTGGCTTACTGATGATTCAATATGCTTTAGAGCTATGTGCTGTCTTATATGAGTTGATGCACATTCAAAAAACAAAAAGTGCCTTTTAATATTATCTCAAGTTAAGCCTAACTAGAAATGGAAGTGGGAAATTTTCACATGGAGTAAAAAAAACAAATATAAAGCCAAATAAATGTTATTTTTGGACTGGCCACACATTGTTCTTCAATCACCACGAAAAATTCAGTTCTATGTAATTTTTAAAAAAAAAAAACACTAACAGCACTGAGTCCTAAGACTGAAACACACACAAGAAGTACCATTGATAATTTTGATTCAGCTCTTACAAAAAACCCTGAGCTTCAACTAAAGTATATTCTGGGGAGTATAAAAAGAACCACACCTGGAGAATGACCAGTATCTCAGCATTGTTTTTTTCCAGGGCTATGTCAAAGGCAGATTTATCAAATTTGCTGAAAGCATGGACATCAGCTCCATACTTGATAAGCAGCTCCACAACATGTCGATGGTGGTGCTCTGTGGCCCAGTGCAAAGCTGTCATCTTCAGCATGTCCTTGGCATTCACATCTGCACCATTCTGTCACAGAAAAAGTAATTTTTCCAAGAGACACTGGTTATAGTAGCACAGGTGCAAGATCCCATCACCAAATACAGATGATTTCAGAGTGATTACACATACTCAAATTTAGATCACATTTAAGGAAAACATTTCTCAAATTTTCCTGAATGCTGACAGACATAATGATTTCAATGAGTGGGTCTTCTAAGGACATCACTGGGAAATTGTGACAGATGGGTAAGGAAGGGGAAGAGAACAGATTTTTGTTGCATTTATTAACAGAGAGCTGAGTGCCTGATAAAATAGGCTTAAGTGCAGAGAACACCTGCAGAAAGGGAATGAAGAAAAATCAGTAAAGTCTTGTTTACCCTTTAAAAGATTAGAAAACAAACTAGCCATGCTGACTCTTGAAAGAGATGCAACTCAATGCTATAAGCTGGCCTAACTTAATCCTTCCCAACCCAGCTTCCTACCACCAGTTCAAGTAAGAAAACAGGGAGGTGGATGTCTTTTTTTCCAACACAGCCCCGCCACTATTCTTGCTTTACCCTAACAAGCAGTTCCACGATGTGCGCATGTCCATCAGCTGCAGCCATGTGCAAGGGGGTCCTGTCCACTTTGGTCCGGGCATCCCTGCTAACTCCTGCTCGAAGGAGCACTTCTGCTGTGGAATAATGACCATACTGGGCTGCAAGGTGGAGGGGTGATGTTCCAAGCTGTGGGAAAATAATACTCATTGACTATCCACTGTGTGAAGGGCCCTGGATCGTTACTGGAGAGATACAAATGAACAAGAGGTGAATCCTATGGTTCCTGTCCTTGGGGAGCAAATTTGGTTGGGCAGATAGGACTGAAGAAACTATTTAAATAAAAGTTAACAATAAACTAATGGGCAAATAAATATATCACCAGCTAAATAAGTGTTAAATATAATGGATTTAAGTAAGGTGGATATATCAGGTAAGATTCCCTTAAAGACATGATTTTAAGCAGGACCTAGAGAAAGGTAAAAAAATGGATTCACAAGAGCATTCAGAGAGTTAAGGGTAAAGGGAAGAGAAAGGCAAATTCAAAATAATTCTTAGGAAAAGAGTAGAGACTGGAAAGTTACACATGGAATTTGGGGTACAAATCTGACTGACTGGAAAAGAAGTCTGTTGCTACAGTAAAGCAAAGTAAACAAGACTAATGAGATGAAGAGGCAATAAAAATGCAGCAATGCTAAGTCAACAGCAATAAGCAAATCTGCACAATGTGAATCTTGTAAGAATTATCTGCAGCATCCACTTTGGCCAGAGATCTATTCCTTTCTTTGGGTTATGCTCTTTATTTTAAGCCTATTTATTCTTTGCTTTTCATATATTCAGCCTCTCTGCCTGAGTGGATTTAATTCACATTGCTCTTTTCGATTCTATTTAAAGAAATGTGTTTTCTTCCTTTTTCTGAGTGCTAAGAACCTGCTGGCCTCTGAAGTTATGAATTAATCAACTCAGAATAGAAAATATTCTCTCATTGAATTGTTAAAATTAGGAAATGCTTACAAAATCTATGAGTGCTAAGAAAGCCTGTATTACAACGTGGACCTACATCTTCTGAAACTCTCTACTCTCCACGGTGGTTGTCTAGGCTCATGAAATTACACATTCCTCTTTAATGTTCAAACAATGGCAAAGGAAACAAAATGACCAGACTATTCCTTATTAAATAGGAATACTAGAGAAAAAAATAAGGAGTTTATTAGTTTAGAAATGCACTCTTATTATACTGATTTTGTTGAATTTTTAGCTAATTATAGAAGCCTATAACTCAAGTGTACTCTAGAGAGAATTAACCTTTAAAAATACTCTGAAAAGAATTATAGAAAATCACAAGTACATAATACCTTACAATTACCACCTATATACCCACAGGAGACTCTTTCAATTTGGGAAAAGAGCAAAGAAAGAAAACCAAATATTCGGATGAGACAAAGAAAACAAAACTCTTATGGGGGGAATGAGGCAGGAAGAAAGAGAAGAAAAATCAATAAAGTCTGTTTAGCCTCTAGGAAAAAGGCTGATAAAATTACATGTTGGGAATAATTAAGAGACCTTTTCACTGAGCTTACCCAGTCTGTGGTGAATGGGGCGCCATTTGCCATCAGTGTTCTTACTTCATCATCTTGACCTTTTCTTGCTGCTTCTAACAACCTCTTCCCCAAGTCCACCAAAGACATCTTTATGCATAGGAACAAAAGTTTGCAGGAAGCTATAACCCAAAACACAAGGAAGGTTGCCTATAAAATCTTTTTAGATTTCTTGACTTTAACGTGTATGTGATATTTCTCAAGTAGACAGGCTGGTTGGGTACTTCCTTTCTACCTTATCTAGCACAGACAATCAAGTATTTGGGAAAGTTCCAGATTCTAAACAATAGTTCTCTCACTCTCAATCTCCAGAAAAATATTTTGGAAATATGTGTAATATACTCCCAAAACAATTCTAATTCCCCATTTTTACTCTTAGGAATCAATAAAACAGCATTTTATCCCTTTGGAATGACCATGGATAGAACATTAAGGAACACAGTACAAAGTAATAAAACATGTATCCTGGTCATTGAGAATTTCAAATTCTTAAGGAATCCAGACTTCTTGGAGTCATACAGGCTGGATGAACTCCTGAAACTACTGCCCTGAGATAACCTGCAAACCTTAAACCTTCAACTGAAAGTATCCCCTGACGTTTTCTTAAAATTGAACAGTAGTTTAGCTTAACTATTAAAGAATGTATGACTAAACAATGTGCTTTTTGGAATGGGATCAAACTGACAATAGCAACTCAAAAGATTAGACAGGAAACTTAGAGGGTTGTGAGTTTATATGTTAATGGGGGAGGAACTACTTAGGAAAAGGAAGGTGAGAATGATTACACAACTTGAAGAATGTTATTAATGTTACTGAATTGTACATGAAGAAATTGTTGAATTGGTATATGTTCTGCTGTGTATATTCTCAAAAACAACAAAATACATCGTGATCTTCAGGAAAGGAGCAAGAAGGATGTCCTGCTGTAAAACCGCTGCTTGGTGAAAATTATGGGAACCCTTATTAGCAAGTACTCTTTCTGGAAATTTGTAGATCTTTGGATGGCACAATGCAACAGGACATATCAGCTTTCTAAATCAAACTGCATTTGTTAACTTTGTTTTTATCTTCTCACTATGGGGTAAAGATAGAATGAAAAATAAAGTATGGTTTATGGGCTCCTGGTGGTTCCTGACACCCTTTCAGAGGTCCAAGAAATCAAAACTGTTTTTATTATTATACTAAGACATTTGCCTTTTTTGATATGTTAACTTTTGTACTGATGGTGCAAATCTAACAGTGGGTATAACTGCTGGTGCCTTAGTACAAATTAAACTATTGCTAGTCATTTTATTCTTCACTGCTGGGTACTTTGGGGTGGGAGGGAAGCCAGTTCCACTTAAGAATGTCCTTGATGAAGCAGTAAAAAATTATTATTAATTTTATTAAATGTCAACCCTTGAGTATAGGTCTTATTATTTCTGTGTGAAAAATATTGGAAATATGCATAAAGCACTTCTGTTTCATTTACTTAATAATGAAATATGATGGTTTTCTTGAGGAAAAACACTGTGATAAAGTTGCATGGAACACCATTTTTACATGAGAGAATGATGAATAGATAAACCAGAGATATTCAGTCTTGGGTATATAGCACACATTTTCTTTAACATGAACAAAGTGAGCCTCTCACTTCAAGGAAAACAACTGACATTATTTATTGCCAGTTACCAATTACAATTTGAGCTTTCAAGCAAAAAATTAGAATTTTGGAAAATTTGTAGCCATCATTGTGCGCTTAACAGCTGACTACTACTTAAAGATTTTTCTGATGAAATGAGTGGTGATGTTAATTAATGTGATTTTTGATACTGTATAATAAAATGTATCAACATTTGATGTTACAAAATCATGCATGGATAAAAAGATTCATTCAAATTGAAAGATAGACCAATGGCCAACGTAACAGCACAAAAAGTTCATAGATGCCTCAATGCACCTAACTTTTAAAAAATTACCATTTGCCAAGTTTTTATGCAGCATCAAAGAATACCTACAATTATCTGAAAAAGCTATTGAAATGGTCCTCCCTTTTCCAAGTACATATCACAACAGACTGAAAGCAGAATAAGATATGAGAATCTAGCTGTCCAGTTGGAGATTTCCAAAAATATAAAATAATGCTATTCTCCTCAGTGTTTTAATTTGTAAGACATAGGTATTTTTGATAAAAACATGTTATTTAGTTAACATGTAATGGTTTTTTTTTTAAATAAATAAACATTAAAAATTAATTTCTAAAACAGTAAATAATCAATTGATATAACACATTGGAGTCTGTAATAATTTTTAATAATTAAAGGAGTCCTGAAACCAGAACATTTGAGAACCACTGGCTTAAGCAAAATATTCTGCCACTTTATGATTCAGTTTTCCAATCCACAGCAGAGAATTTTATGTTCAAAGCTTTTGTCCAGGAGATCACCAGGGGTGTTTGTTCAAAATGAATATATCTGAAAACCTAGTCCAGATGCTCTTAATTTGTATGTTCAAGAGTGTGAACTTTTTAAGTGAACTGCTATACACCTACCCAAGCTTCAGTTTTTAGAAATCATGAAAATGCTAGAGAAAGAATTATAGCAAAACTTCTTTTAGAACACTGATACTTCACATTTCTCCATAGTTATTATCTTCATTTTAAACTATCAAACCTGCTTTTCAACTTAATTACCTTTTTAATAATAGTTAAAAATGAGAAAGATTATTTAGGTGGTTAATTACTCCTTCACATTTTCTTAAAATGCAATATATAAAAGGTATGTCAAGACTTAAAAACCTGTAGCTGCCCTTCAGGTCTGGAATTGAACCTACTCCTGTGGCTTCCAGCCAAACAAAAGACAGGCATAAGGGCTGAACATTTACATAGGTAGATACACTCCTTGGAGAGATCAATCATGGGAGAATAGAGGGGCTGTATATGCACAGGGAGACAGATTGGGGTTGGGGGGGAAGAGTACATGGGAGGGAAGGACACAGGGAAGAGATGGCTATGGGGAGGGGGTAAGAGGGGAGCTGTTGCATAGTGGGAAACTGCAGTGAATGTCATGAGACAAAGTCTATGTGAGCTCCTGTATGGAAAATGAATTTACTCTGTAAATTTGCACCCAAATCACAATAAAAATTAAGGAAGAAAAAAAAAGATTTAAAAACCTGTACAGTGACTGATCACAAAAGGAAAGTATATTCCACACAGTGATGGTCAAAAATGCTGGCCCAAGGCAGGATTTATCTATCTTAATAATGAAATTTCAACCCTAGTCCTAATCATACACGCACACACAATTCAGTTGGAATTTGAGGTATCTGTTAAAGGAGAAATCTGGTTTGCTTCACGTTCCTGAAAAACATACTTCCAGAAAAGAAGACATTTTAAAGTAAGTTGATTTTATCCCATGCAACTGGTGTTCTTTAACACCTGAATTCTTGCAAAATATTTTTGAGCAATCAATTTTGTCCACTGTAGTCTGACTTTATACCATTTTTCTTTAATCATATTTGTAAGTAGTGCACTAGTATCACAAAATGGCAATAAAAATTCTTATTTCCTACTATATACAAAGATATAATTAAACTTTGGGATTAAAATGTAAATAAGATGTTACATTCATTGCCTAATATAAAACAGGTTTCCTACAAATGTGTTCTTCAAGGCTTTTTTCTCCCCCTACCCTCAGTTATTATTTTATTTTGAATTAACTTGAAGCATCGATCTCTAAAAGTAAAATGTGTATTTTAAATAACAGCACTTTTTGGGATTATGTACCTTTCTCCCAGTATCCTATGACAATGCTTGCCACCAGACATGAGATGTAGCCTAATAGACCAGAGGGCAGTCGAGGCACTCTGAGCTCCTTGATTACTAAGAAGGAAGGGAAAACATTCTCCCTAGGTTATGTACCCCAACTTTCCTGTATATAAACCTGAGGAATCACACACTGGTGTTAACTTTAAGACTCCTAGGATATGGAGATGAATAAAACAACACAAAGTACCCACTTCCCCTCCCAAACAAACACACAAAAACTTTCAATAAGTGTGTTTAATAAGTTATGAAGTGCTTGAGCTCTTGATAACAAGTACTCTATCAACAAAAAGTAATTACTTTTGTTTATGTAAGAATTTGGGTAGGGCAGTTCTCCCCTCATTGTTATCAAAGGATGTATGAAAACAAATGTTTAAGAATATCTCTACTGAAATGGTTGGATCATATGGTACGACGAAAATATGGTCCCAAATGACAAAACATACTGTCAAACTGTTGAAGTGAAGCCATAGAAAATCTCCTTTTCGTAGGCATTAAAAAAAATAATAATAAAATAAGAGACCCTAGAGCAATCCTTCTGGGAAGGAATAGGATGATCTCTGCAGGGTACCGCTGGGTTAAGGAAATCTGCGAGAAAAAGAAAATGCTAACGCAAAATAGAACTGAAATTGAAGAATTCATGGGCTGATGATCAATTTTTTTTTTTTTTTTGCAAGGCACACGTCCCCACGGGGCCACCAGCTGTACGAACAACTGTGCGAAACTTGAAGAGGGACCCTTACTGCTCTTGTTCAGATTACTAGGCTCGCCAAGGTTATTACTGGGGTCAGTGAATTAGAGTTCCTGAGTCCCCCTCTGTCATAAATCCTCCAATTCACCACACCAGTCTCGGTCTTTGTGAAAGAAGGGAGCCAATCTGGGGTAAGGAACCAAGGTCTCAGCCTACGGCATAGTCCCCCACCAGAGATCCGACCCGCCCCCTAGTGGTCACCTCTATGGCCCTGGCTCCCCTTGGTCCAGCTCCCCAGCCCCAGGTCTTACCCACACCCCCTTCTTCACCTCTTCCCAGTCCCCTCCCCTTCCTCCCTAAAGCATCCCCTTCCTCTCTGTCCTCATCCCCCGTCAGTCCCCGCTCTGGTGAGGGGGCGCTTCTCAGTCAGCACCCAGACGTCCTGGGCTAGTCTGGGAAGGGCTGAGACTTCTCACGGCGCTCTGCCTTCCAGCCCGGGCGCCCCCACAGCCCACGCATCTCTTTTCTCCCCTCACCTCCTCGTCCGGGACGCTGTCGGCTGCGCTTTCACCAAGCCCGCCAGTTTGGTCCCGTTTCCTTCTCTAGTTAAGACTCCCTGTCAGTGACGGTTACTTTTTGGCCTTTTCATATATGCGTATTTTGGGGGCCTTTAACCCCCCCTCGTGGAGAAATGGAGGCAACAAAATGGCAGACCCGGAAGTGAAGGCGCAGCAAAGACAATTTCTGGCGGAGGAATCCGTGGAAGTAAATTATGACAAAGCCCACATTCTCATTCGAAGAAAAGGACTATACATCCCTGAGCTTCATTTTTTATGTACTGAAAGTTTTTTTTAAAACGAAAAAGTGTATCTGAGAGATCCTACCAGGACTACTTAGCGAGGCGGAGGATTACTTAATTATGTGTCGTGTAGTTCCGGTAGGGGACGGTCTGGATAGTTTGTTTTCGCGCCAAGGGCTCAGACAACTGGGGGGAAACGAAGTTTGCGTCCTCCCTCTTGGCTGCTTCTCCGGGGTATCGGTTTTAGAATTGATGAGAAAACCTTGCTGCCCGATCCCAACCTCGGACGAAGCTGTTTGGAGCATTCCTGATTTTACACATCAATTGGGTTCTGGTGCTTGCCACTATTTCCAGCGTGAATACAAGAACGCAAGAGCCAAATTGTCAAGGCGGACAGTCAATAACGGAATCACTTCTTCTGAAGGGACTGGGAAAGGATGAAAGATGTGGCAGTCTGCTTCGGTAAAGATTACAGTCTTGGACACCCAATTGGCGCAGTCCTACACTGTCCTATAGAGTTGCAGCGAGCTGCAGTTGACTTGATGGCAAGGGGTTTGGTTTTTTTTTTTTTTGGAAAAGGCTATCAAGTATGCAAATTAACCAGTTGGCGGTGACAGAAGCACTGTGCTGATCCTAACATCCGGAGTTGCCTCTTCAGAAATCCATGAAAATAGAAAAGCACATACATCACTTAACCTTCCTAGCCCCATTCTTTATTTTGGCTTTTGTTACTGACGATGGCCTCTTTAAAGCCTCGGAGGAAGATTTAACATGGTTCTTCCTTCTCAGAACTTCTGTAGATCTTGCTAGGGTAATTTTAAAGTATCTATGGCATACTGCCAAGTATTACTGCTATTGGTACTTGCTGGTTGCTTAGAATAGCTGTATGGTGACCTCATGTGTGCAGAGTAGAATTGTTCTTCAAGGCTGTGTGACCTTTTGAAGCAGATCGCTGGGGCTTACTTCCGAGGTGCCTCTGACTGGGTTTGAACCATCACACTTCCGGTTAGTCGTCTATTTGTGCAATCCAGGAACTTTATTGGTATTTACTTCCCTTTTTAAGGTTGAGAGTAGGACTTGATTCATTCCTGTTTACATGCTTTTATATTGTCTGGTTCAGTGCCTTTTATATAATAGGCACACGAACTTTGTAAGTTAGGTTCAAATAGTTTTTTTTGGAGTGAGGTCAGTTAAAAATAAGGTAACACTTGGGTGAATTAATTTATTTTCTTAGGCACCTAGATTGACGTAATGACAAGCAGATTCAGAACCCCAGGTGCATCCTGAGACATCTAGGAAAATTATTACTTGAAATATGTTGGTAGGTAGTAGGCAACCATATGGGCCCTAAGAGTGGTTGGTTGTGGGTTTTTTCTAACTAGCTTTCTCATTTTAAGTTGATTTCACCCTTTTTCTTAATTACTTACATGTTTAAGCTGAAGTTCAGTGATTTTTTATGTAGCAAGACTATTCAAATTGTTCCTCCTCAAAACTGAGTATTAGATAAAATTCTAAGCTACATGTAAAAGCAAGATGAATTTCTGAGATCTATAATTTTTCCCTGTTTAGAGAGAAAAACTAGAATTCAGTCCTGGGATTGAATATCTTTATTAGAGGAGTAAATGGCAGCACAAATCAGCAGCAATAAGTTTGGAAGGGGTGGGACAAGCTGTAGGATCAGAATATGATTGTTCATTTCATGGTCTCAAGGTGGCTGAAGAACTGTGCCCAAGGTCCACTGATCAACATCATACATTGCAAATACAACAGGAAGGCAAGACTAAAATACTAAACACCAAACCCTATGCCTTTTAAAAGGTTGAGTCAAAACCTTACAAATTATAATAGTAAGATTGTAGATCTGAAATCTGATTTTCCTCACATTTTCAGCCCACAATTTGGAGCAAAGTTGTAAAATGAGTAAGCTTGAAGGAACACATTTTTGAAAAAGGGAGCACTTAGCTATTTCTGAAATGATTCAGTGCTTTCCTCTATTTTCTTTTCCATGATATATTATTTCCTCGTCTTACATTTTCATGACGCCAATTTATCTGCAGACAAGAGTACATTATAGGAACACAGAAGATCGCACACACACAAAAATCTTTTACCACCTCAGCATTTTAGAAATCCTATTGTTTTGTAGCAGATAATCACAAATTAAAACTAAGGCTTTCATCAACCCTTGAAGAAATATTTGTATTTACTGGAACAGGAAATTAGGAAGGTTTGAACAATCTCTGATGCTGATTAAAATGGAGTGAAAAATCAGTCCTCCATTTTGCACTATTGTACTACTCTTTGATGCCCCCATCAGGCATGCTTTCTGGAGTTAATTCCTAGGGGGAAAAGAGAATCCCTGTGACCCAATACTCCATTGCTTCAACCTTTGTGGCGTGAGGGCTTTTGAGTAAAATGGAGAAGGAAGATAAATAGATAAATAAATAAATAAGACTCTGACAGATTCATCAGCACCACCTCAACACAATGGAGGGGAGAGAGCAATGGGAAAGGTGTGGAAAGAGGCTGAAAGGGAAGACAATGAGGGTGAGGTGGTAGGAGAGACTTGGCCTTAGAGCAAGTCTAACTCAAAGGAGTGAATGCTGGCAATGGGAGCTCTCCAGAAGTTGAAGGTGCTGTACTCAAGGAGGGCATCAGCTTCAGGGTTTTTCTCCTTCTCTGCTCTGGTTGCTTGTCCGGTCATTTTGCCATCACTGTTGCTCTTGATCTTGTAGGTGTCTGTATCTGACAGACCCAGGCCTTCCAGCTCCGACAGATCCAGTTCTGGGATGGGCATCCTCCAGAAAAGAAAGGAGCTGTACTGGCTACTCACAGGGTCCCTCATAGCTCCTTAGAAAGAAACACTTGTCAGTTTCATGCTATATAGTAACCTCCTTATGACCTTTCTTTGCTTATAACTCCACACCCCTACTTACCTCTGCACATAATCCAAGTTCCTTAGGACAAATTTCAGGAACCCTTCCTCCATTACCATCTTCTATTTTATTCCTAATTTTTCCCATCTTGGGATGCCTCATTTATTGCCTACTGTATCAAGTTGATCTTGGGTCTGGTTTGCAAGGCCTTCCAAAATCTGGACCTCCTCTCTCTAGCAGTACATATCCTAAACTACAGTTATACTTATCCCTCCATCTTAAAATACTACTCTAGTTTCGAGATTCTGTATAAGTCCTTAGAGGAATCTTTCCTGTTATATTTACAAATGTTTGTCTTCTTCCTGCCTTGGTCTAATAGGCCATGGTACCTCTGAAAAGGTTTTCCATGACATTTCTGCTTTCTATTTTCCTTCTTGCCTTCTAAACTCTACTATAAACTGGCTTCTTCGTGTTATGACATCCTTAAGCTTTCTTAGCTCCATCTACTCTATTTCCTCCAGTGCCCTCTCTTCCCCCAACACTCCTATAGAGGCTTACCTGACTGTATCTGTTTGGAGTTACTAGTCACGGAGCTCTGGTAGCATAGTGGCTAAGACACTTGCCTGCTAACCAGACGGCTGGTGGTTCAAACCCACCAGCCACTCCTCGGAAGGAAGGTTGGGCAATCCTACTTCCGTAGTGACACTGCCTCGGAAACCCAAGGAGGGGTCGCTATGAGTCGGGGCCGACTCAATGGCACATAACAACAACAACAGTCACGGTTATGTGTCTTGTGTTGGTAATGGTCTTATCTCCTTGAACAGACTAGGACTCTCTCCCAGGGTAAATATCAGTCTGCTTTCTCTGTACTTCCTCCACAAGTGCTGAGCTCTGACACCAAACACACTCAAGGCCGCTAATTTTCCCTCACTCTTTATTTAATACAGTGAATACCTTGTACTCCATCTGTACCCACATATATGCCTTAACAGATTATTTCTAAGCTTCTGTTCCTTCAGAGCAAAACTCAGGTGCTAAACAAATTTTCCTATGCTGTAGAAAGGTCCCTCTTCTCTGATCCCAGTGCTAGAATATACCTGACTGTATTGAGAGCAAATGGATTGGTAATTCCAGGTAATAAGAGCAAAGTTTAGATAGAAGGGAAAGTCTCTTAACAGAATCAGATACTTTTCCATGCTTTAATGATTAATTCTATCACCTTTTCTACTCAACTCACCCACACCCTGATGTTCTATGACTATTATATCTCCCTGCAGCCTCCACCCTGCTGCTTACTAGCTAAGGGAAGGAGCAAGAAGCATTAGTTGAAATGTTTCCAAAGGAGCAGAAAGAACATTGCCGTGTCCTCAAAAATAACAAATCTCAAAAGGCCTCCTTTCAACATACCCCATCGGCTCTCATAAAGAATGAGACTCCTAACCAGTGGTCTTAAATAGGCTCCAAATAAAATGTTATTACTAAGGCAGAAAAAGAAAACCTTAATCTAGAATAGGGTTATGTTTAAGAGTGTGGGGATTTTAGGGGTAGTTAGCTGGTAGGCTAGGATATTTTTAATATTAAAAGTGATTTCTAAGTTGCTCTTTTTCTTCATAGGTAGGTTCAAGAGCCAAAAAAAAAAAAAAAAGCCCCTGGGAAACTGAACATTACTCAGCAGAGAAGCTAGCTGCTTAGGAGGAGGGTGATGCAGGGAGGGAAGCATGTTGGAAAGGTGATGTCATCATCCTACAATATTCAGCTCTGATATCTCCACAGTCATTTGCAGAGACATGTGCACTGGAAGATACAGAAAATGGTTATAGGATTAACCAACAAATCTCTGGGTTTAGAACTATAGAAATCTTAAGGAGCAAACCCTAAGAGTCAATAGTGTTACTGACTTCTGCCCACATGGATTTTTTTCTTTTAATATTACCAGTATTTTCTTAGCTAACTGGCTTCTTTTATATTCCCTCTCTTACAAGTCTTCTCCTGAGTAAACTTAGCATAATGCTGGGCATATAATAGGCTTTTTTCTTAAAGAGACTCAAAGGGAGAAAAAAAAAAAAAACTATGGGATTTTAAAAGTAGAAAGCACCTTAGAAATTATCTAGTGACTTGTGAAACCTCTCAGCCAGTTTGGATAGAATC